TTCCAAATTCATTGTCCAGCTTTGGCATACATATGAGGCAATTGGAAACACCATGGCTTGGGTCAGGTGTACCTTAGTCTTCATAAGTGACATCTTTGCTTCTTAACACTTCACAGAGGTCTTTTACAGCAGATTGGCCAATGCAGTATGTTGTTTGAATCCTTTACTACTGCTTCCATGGGTGTTGATTGTGGATGCAAGTAAAAGGAAATCCTTGACAGCTTCAATCCTTTGCCCATTTATCATGGTGTTGCTTATTCCAGTTGTGAGGATTTTTGTTTATATTGAGCTGTAATCCATATGGAAGGTCTTTGATCTTCATCAGTAAGTACTTAAGTCCTCTTCACTTGTGTCATCCACATATTAACAGGTTATTAATGAATCTTCCTCCAGTCCTGATGCTGTGTTGTTCTTCATGTAGTTCAGCTTCTCAGATTTTTGCTCAGCATAAAGATTGAGTAAGTGTGAAATAATACAGCCCTGAAACACATCTTTTTTGCTTTTAAACCACACAGTATTCCATGATTGTGTTCATTGACTGCCTCTTGGTTTCTGTACAGGTTTCACATGAGCACAATTAAGTGTTTTAATTCTTTGAAATGTTATTGATAATTTGTTATGATTCTCACAGTTGAATGTGAGTATCCACATTTCAATAAAACACAGTAAAATTAAAGGCTCCTACCTTTTTCAGCCACTATTCTTCTGTCCGTTTGTTGTACTGTGGTGGCTTCCATGTTGCTGTCATTCTGGAAGCTAAGCCACCGTTCAAACACTAGCACGGTCACCCACAGCGGCCAGCGCTCAGCGGAGCTTCCAGCCTGAGAAAGACCAGGGAGAAGGATGTGCAAACTACTTCTAAAAAAATGAGCCACTCACATGAACTGGGGACTGGAGCCACCCAATAGTCAGTGAAACCCAGGTAGACATCTGGTTTGATCCTTTAGTGCCACTCTGACAGAAATACCACAAATGAGTAGCTTTACCAAACAGGAATTTTATTCTCTTAGTTTAGAAGGCTAGAAGTCTTGAGTTCAAAGTGCCAGCGCTAGGGGCTGGGTGAAAGCCCCTTGACCTTGGGCTTCAGTTCTGCCTCTTGTTCCCAGCCCATTGAAACTGGAGGCTTCTCTTAACTCAGGCAGCAGCTGGCTGCCAAGGCCGACAAACCCAAGGTCGACAAATAAAATGGCACAGTCTCAAGATTATCAAGTAACATGGCAGGCCACTTGTTCAAGTGCAGAGACAGTCCCCAGATCAGTAGACAACATGGCAGGTCACTCACTGATGACTTGGTCACATGCAGGGTCCAAGCACGTGGAAAAGCTCAGGGACCTTTCTCAAAGCTATCTTCTGATATACTGGAAGCAGCCCGCATCTCTAAGGCAGCTGCTACTCAGCTGCTCCAGTCGATTCCACCATGGAGTTGATTACCAGTCTCATCATAGGGAATAACTACATCTAGCTGCCCAGCCACTCAAAACCGGGCCCAGCCAAATTGACACACAACTTAACTACCAGAATTCTACCTCTTGTCAACTTAGCGTCCATACACATCTCCTTCATTGAGTGGCTCCAGTCCCCAGTTCATGTGAGTGGCTCATTTTTTTAGAGGTAGATTGCAGATCCTTCTCCCTAGTCTTTCTCAGGCTGGAAGCTCGGCTGAGCGCTGGCGCTGTGGGTGACCATGCTAGTGTTTGACATAACGGTGGCATAGCTTCCAGAATGACAGCAACATGGAAGCCACCACAGTACAACAAACGGACAGAAGAACAGTGGCTGAAAAAGGTAGGAGCCTTGAATTTAAAATAAATAAATAACTGAAGCCTTTTAGGGGACAAATGTTAAATCACTATATATTTTAAAAGAATATAATTACTATGGGTTAATGGCTGTTAATAGCTTCATGTATTAAAATTTCTCTAATTTTGGTATAGATTTCAGAGATTGAATCAGTTTAAAAGTTCAAATTAAGACTATGAAGATGTAATTTAGTGCCTGTTATGTTTTTAGACAATATATGTGGCTATCTATATTAAATACACTTTCTCTGTCCTCAAATCACATAGGTTTTGTAGTCATCCCTTTTTTTCTTTCACAGAAGAATATCTTAAATATTTTATGTATTATATGTATGTTGATTTTTTAATATTCTATATTTGGTACAAGTTAGAGTGAATTGACCCAAATTAGGAAAATGCAGCAGTATTTGCAGAACAGGGAGACAGGGAAAAGAGAACTAGTTTATGGAATTGTTTTAAAAAAGGTTGAAGTAAAAATTGGAATCATGTATAATTTACTCTTTTGTGTCTGGCTTGTTCTGCTCGACACGATGTGTTGGTATTCTGAATATGTCCTAATTTGTTAATCATTAATCTGTTAATAAATGTGTGGTTTGTTTTCTGGTTTGGCTGTTACGAATATGGCTGCTCTGCAAAGTAGTGTACAAGTTTTTTGTTGTTGTTGATTGATGTTTTCATTTTTCTTGAATGAAACACTAAATTGATTCCCTTGTTGTTGTTGTTGTTATGTGCCGTCGAGTCAAACGCGACTCATAGCGACCCCTCCTTGGGTTTCCAAGGCAGTATCACTACAGAAGTAGGATTGCCCAACCTTCCTTCTGAGGAGTGGCTGGTGGGTTTGAACCGCCAGCCGTCTGGTTAGCAGGCAAGTAGTTGTATTATTTAACAGTCCCACCAGCAATGAATAAGAGTTCTTGTTACTCCTTATCCTTTTCAACATTTAGTATTGTCAGTGGGTGGCTTGGATTTTAGCCATTCGAAAAGGTGTAAGTGCTATCTTATTGTTGTTTTCAATGATAACCATGTTTTTCATATGCTTATTTTCCATTTGAATTACTTCTTTGATAAGGTGTCTGAGTTTTTGCTCAGTTTTAATTGGATGTTTCTTTTCTTGTTGTGTTTTACAGAGGCCTTTGAATATTTTGGATAGAACAGTAGTGACATACGTGTTCTGCAAATATTTTCTCCTAATCTGTGACTTATCCATTCATTCTCTTCACAGTATTTTTCATAGAGCAGAAGTTTTTAATTTTAATGAAGTCTAACTTATCAACTTTTTCCTTTATGGATGTGCTTTTAAGGCACTCTGGTGGTGCAGTAGTTAAGACATTAGGCTGCTAACCAAAAGGTTGGTGGTTTGAACCCACCAGCCACTCCATGGGAGAATGAGTAGGCAGTCTGCTTCTGTAAAGATTCACAGCCTTGGATACCTTATGAGGCAATTCTACTATGTCCTGTAGGGTCACTATGAGTCAGAATTGACTGAATGGCAGAGGGTTTGGGTTGGGTGTTCTGTTCCATTGATACAGTTATCTGTTCTGTTATCAGTACCGCAGTGTCTTGATCACTGTAACTTTACAGTAAGTCTTGACCTCAGATAGTGTCAACCTTCTGATTTCATTCTTCTTCGATTACTGTGTTGGCTAATCAAACTTTTTTGCCTTTCCATACCAGCTTTAGAATTTGTTTCCACAAACTATGTTATTAATATCCACAAGATAACTTACTGGGATTTTGATTGGAGTTACATTGAATCTGTTGATCTAATTGGAAAGAATTGACATCTTAATAATTTGCATCTTTCTATTCATGAACGTGGTATATCTTTCCATTGTTTAGATCTTCTTAGGCTTCTTTCATGAGACTTTTGTGATAAAGTTCATTTCAAAACTTTTCAAGAAAATATGTTGATAATGTTTCTAATATTTTAAAATAATTTTTTCTTGAAGGTTCTATACTAATATTAGGCAGTCTGGTTGCATAATGGTTAGAGCATCTGATTGCTAACCAGAAGGTCAGGTTTTTGAACCCACATCCTGCTTTGTGGGAGAAAGATCAGGCTGTCTGCTTCTGTAAAGATTTACAGCCTTGAAAACACGATGCAGCAGTTCTGCTCTGTCCTGAAGGGTCACTATAGAAAGGAATCAACCCGATGGCAATGTGTTTGGTTCTGGTTTTACTTTGTGCCAAGCATTGTACTATGTATGATCACTAACATTATTTCATTGATTATAGTTTTTACAGCACATTGAGGCAGGGTTAATTTTTCTTACTTTGAAGAGGAAACAGAGACTCAAAGTATTGACTTGTCCATGGTCACAAGAGTTAGTGCATCATGGGACTGGAATTAGAATTAAAAATGTGAGAGGTCAGATTCTAACATACATGATCTTTTAAATAGTAAGGAATCAGATAGTCAAATATTTTTATGTTTGAGATCATCAATTTAAAGTTTTTCTTCTTAAAATCTGTCACTACTGTTCTTTAATTTTTTTTTTCTGGGATGCACTTATTATTATCTTCAAGCATCAGCTACATTCTGCCTGTGCTCAGCACACTGCTGCATGTGATGTTGGTTTGAGGAGAATAGAAGTTGTGAATGAGTTGCGAAGAGGATAAAGTCACTGCCCTGAGAGAGTCAAGGTCTTTGAGTCTGGGGGAGAAAACTGGAAAACCTGTAGGGAGATGTGCATTTATCATCATTTGCTGTACATATGAACATTCATTCATAAACTGTCATATTTAATTATGCAGGCACATATTTAGTTGTATTTTTAAATAAGCATGGAGATGTGAGAAAGGAAAAAAGTGGGAAGGTTAGGATAGAGACTTACTAAAATTAAAAATAAGGCTAATACAGTGTGGATTTAAATTTAAAAGAAAATGAAACTTCAAAATGACTCTTTGGGAGGAGGGTGGAGAAAGGTAACTGATGAATCTATACTTAGTATTGTCAGTTTTGCCAAATGAGTGAACTTTATTTGGAAGACTTTGGTTTTTGGTTCAGTTATTTAAGAAGTAATTGAGATAATGTAACAAGCATATTGGTATATGTAATTGGTATATGTGATTGCTAGAGCTTGTAGCTTCAAACTTGAAAATGATATCATCTTTTCTATAAGGCATTATTTTAATTTGATTGTGTATTCTTGCCAAAGGGAAAAATAAATTAATAATACTTTGAAAATATTTTCCTTGAAGTTTGATATGAAGACAAAAATGGTGGAAGCCCGATTTCATGAAGAGAGACTTAAACTACAACAGAAACATGATGCTGATGTTCAGAAGGTAGGGTCTATATAATTTATTCTTTTACTTGTATCAAATACCTAAAGATTCTAGGTCTTGTATTTAGCTATCTGTTTGTTTGTGTGCCTTGTGATGGTCTGTGTTACAAATGGAATTGGCTAAAATAACGTCCCAGTAAAATTTTCTCTTTAAGCTTCACTTGCTCAACATGCATGTTCCTATGACACCTTCTGGCTTTTATTGTCTTTAGGTCATCTTCAGGAATTCTTTTATAGTTGTCATTTTTATTGTCCTTCATCTACATGCTATCATTATTTTTCATAAAGCTGAGCTGAGACATCCACTGTAAATATTAGAATTTGTTTTTGCCTAGTATTCTTTCAGTTTTCTATTAATTAAAATTTCCTTTGTAATTTCAGAAAGAACTCTTGAGCATAGTCTAGTGTGGCAAAGACTGCATACATTGTAATGCTGGCATTAAGAATGTCAGCTCATTAACACAGAAGCAGATGCCACATCTTTCTCCCGCGGAGTGGTTGGTGAGTTTGGACCACTAACCTTTTGATTAGCTGAGTGGTTAACCACCGTGCAACTAGGGCTCCTTATGTTATAGCTAAAGAAGCAAAAAGGAAAGTAACGTATCCAAGTGTAGATAAGACTACTATGTTTTATTTCCCTTCCAATTCTTAACACCTAGGAAGTGACATACAAGTCATCGTTGAGTAGCTCGTTGAGATTTATGGCTTCCAGCATCTTAATCTGTGTATTTCAATAAAGTGTAATTTTCTTCTTAACTGAAAAAGCATTGAGATAGCATCAATTCATGGTTGTTTTACATGGAATTTGGTTTTATGATGTAGTTTAAAAACAATTAAATAATTTAATGACAGTAATTTTTTTTTTTTTTTTTTAAACACATGCGCTTGATCCAAATAGAAAGAGCATTACTGTTTCAGAACTAAATCTATGATTCTGCTCCTAGAACTGAGTCACAGAGCTGGAAATGAGGAGCCATAGATTGGCACTTTCTTAAAGAGATAGTAATATTTAGTCAGGCACATATTTGGCTCATCTTTCAAAGCAACGAGAAGGAAATCAGTGATTAAAAATTAGAAACAGACAAGCTATTTAGCCACTTCTTCCTCCATCTCCCGATCAAATTTTAAAAATACTACTTTTTGCCTTTTTACAATTTTACTTTGAGGTGCTTAGTTAACATAGTTCTCTGTTATAAATGTTAGATTCAGTAATTATAATTTCAGTATAATCTGGTCTATGTCCCAATCAAATAGAATCTATTGATATATAGTCATTCTTTTGATGAATGAATATAAAAGATGTATTTGGAGAAAATTGTGGTGAGAGAGTTAAAATAGGCATCTTGGCATTTCTGTTATAAATATGTATGATAAGACAAATATTTAATAGTAAAATTTTTTCCAAAATTTCTTTTTCTAAGTAAATTTGGTGTGAAAAAGACAGAAATGCAAATCCTTGGAAGTGCCAAGTAAGATATAAGTAAAATACTTGGCCTTCTGCCATATTTGGAAAGTATTTCCATCAGTTGTTACTTGCATGCCATTTCGTAAGTGTCAAGACTTGGAGGAAGAATAAAACTTCTCTACACTTGCACTTATTGTTTTCCTTCTTTATATGTAACATAGAGAGTGCTGGTAGCAAAGTGGTCAAACCCTCAGCTGCTAACCAAGGTTGGGGGTTCAAACTCACCAGCTGCTCTGTGGGAGAAAGACGGTGCTGGGCTGCTTCTGTAAAGAATACAACTTTGGAAACCCTGTGGGGCAGTTCTACTCTATCCTATGGAATTGCTTTGAGTCAGAATTGAGTCAAGGACAGTGAGTTTGGCTTTCTTGGTTTGGTTTGGTTTGTAATAATATGGTCTACATAGCTCCTTTTTTTATTTATCAATCAGTCTTAGAGATGGAACTAAAACAATGAAGGGAAAGTGAGATGCTCATTGTAAAAAATCACTAAGAAAAATGTGGTTAGACTTTAATGAACAACTGTTTGTTTAGCTGACTTTGAGTGTATGGAAATATATCCCAACCATAAGAAAAGTTGATGTTTATACCCCTTTCTCAATTTGGTTTTCTTTTTTAATTCTGTTGGTTAGCACATTTTTTTCTTGCTTGCTAACTTGGGCAATCTACTTCCATAGTGATACTGCCTCAGAAACCTGAGGAGGGGTCGCTATGAGTTGGAGACGACTTGACGGCACATAACAACGACAACTTTCCTACATTTTGATTTTTTTTCTTTTGGGGGAGTTTTTGGAGTGTAGTTGTGTTTAGAAGCATAAAATCATGATAAAATTATATTCAATTATTGAAATGTAAACTTCTGACACAATATAAATTAACGATGTAAAATATTCATACAATTTTTGACACATTTTGGGCTGATTTTTCTGATTCATGGTTATTGTTGTTGTTGTTATGTGCTGTCGAGTCAGACCTGACTCCCAGCGACCCCTCCTTGGGTTTCTGAGGCAGTATCATATGGAAGTAGATTGCCCCATCTTCCTTCCGAAGAGCGGCTGGTGGGTTTGAACCGCCAGCCTTCTGGTTAGCAGTCAAGTGATTCATGATAGCTGACCAAAATATCAAAGAAGCCTAATAATGCCATCTTCCCATGTGCCTGGGAAGTCTTGCTATTGTGCACTGAAGTGATAGCAGGGCACTAGGGGAGGATTGAAGGATATGCTTCCCTGAAAATGTTCCTATTCCAAGGTAGTGGGGATGTGAATACTACTGCCCCAGCATGTCAAGGTTCTGATGGCTTCTCTCTGCTGCTTTATGACAGTTTTTAGTCTTTGAATTATATTTTAGAGAGTCACATAATTTATTATTTATGTTATTATTTATAGTACCCTTAAAAAGTTATACGTGAAAATTCAAAACAGATAGTATTCCTTTCAGATAATCAATTCTTTGAGTACATTTAATCATTTTCTCAATGTAGTAAAATATAATTTTTACAGCTCTTTTGGGAAACCACTTATGGGATTAGCTGAGGTCGATTTGGAGAAAACACTGTGCTCGTTTAAGGAAATTACGTGTTCTGTATTTAAAACAATATTGTATACTAAAATATTTTAAATTTATTTGCAGATTTTAGACAGAAAGAATCATGAACTAGAAGAATTGAAAACTTTATATAAAAAAAAGCAAATTGAAACTGAGGAGACCATTAGAAAGCTTGAAAAGAAAGGTGATGTTTCGCTTTTATGTAAATCTTTGAATAGTATTGTAATTTTATTTAGTGGCTGTAGAAAGTAAAACTTGGTTTCTAAACTTTAATAGTATGAGCTGGGAATGTTTATGTGGGCTTCCACCAATGGATGAGTTTATGTGGGTTTCCATACATTTAAATGAATGACGGGATAAACTCTGTGGGCGCATGCATGCATCTGTATGTGTCACAGCAGTAATGGGGGGTAGTGGTGGCTGGTTTGGTTAAAGAGTTGGAAGAGTCTGTCACTGTCGCTTCTGCTTCTTAACTCTTTGTTGCCTCATTGAGCTTGAGCTACCATAGATCAGTCGAGTACAGTCACGGGATTAGGTTTTATTGGCTTTCGCAAGGAAGGGTGTGGGAATTATTCCTCTCTGTGTAGTACAATTCATTACATAAAGTTCTTTATGTGTACTAGCTGCAAAGATTGTGATTCATGGATAAACCATTTTAAGAAACATTCCCCATTTATACTTTCATTAAGAAGGAAAAGAAAGCATTGATTATGTGTTAAAATGACTGATCATGGGTCAGAACATGTAAATACAGCAAGTGGTCATGAGGGAGTGTGCTGAAAATATTCTTTGGAGAAACGAACTTTTAGAGATTTGTAAGATTTGAATTGCTGGAGAGGAGAGTTCCAGATACTGAGGGAAAAATGCTGAGTTGTGGGAAGGATGCTGGAGAACCATTTAGCTAGAGAAGATGTCCCATGCCTTAAGAGGTAGATTGGAAGAGATTAAGGTGGTGATTTGGAGTAGAGTAAACATGACCTTGAACCATTTAGCTAGAGAAGATGTCCCATGCCTTAAGAGGTAGATTAGAAGAGATTAAGGTAGTGATTTGGAGTAGAGTAAACATGACCTTGAACCATGTAGCTAGAGAAGATGTCCCATGCCTTAAGAGAGAGATTGGAAAAGATTAAGGTGGTGATTTGGAGTAGAGTAAACATGACCTTGAATTTCAGATTTAGAAAGTTGAACTTTATCCTGTGTATGTTGGTAAGCCAAAGAAGATTTTTGAGAGGTAACTTTCTGGATTTCAGGTTTAGGAGAAGTAGCCTGGTAATGGTGGGTGTGTAGAACATGCTAAGGCCACTTCTGAGTGTGTTACGCTAGTTAGAGGCAGAATGGTGTGAGGCAGACATTCCACTTATTATGACACAAATTCTAATCCCAGCTCTGCTACTTGGTATCTGATATATGACTTGGGGAAGTCTCTGAACCTTGGCTTGCTCATTATAAAATGGTGTGGTTGGAATAAATAATATATAAAATCCCTTCCAACTCTACATATTTTGTTTCTACACTGAATTTAGTGTGCCAGGTAAAATTGATGCACAGTATATGAGTGGTGGAAGTTGGATTAGTGAGATTGGAGCTATAGAACATTTTTGATAGGTAGATCGTTAGGATCTGATGAATCCTATATAAGATATAGGAAGTGAATAAGGGGACAGAGAGAGAATGATTTTTGTTCAGGGGTTTCCATATGGGATTTAATGATTCATTCTCAAATCATCAAACTTAACTCTATCTGAGTGAATAAATGCCCTTAACAATTTAAAATGGCAATTACATATATAAGTTAACTAATAAAATAGATATTTGTATGTTTATGTACAGTCTTAAATGTTGGTGAAAAAATAACTAGAAATTTGTTTAGATTGTTTTTCCAAATATTATCAGTGGCTATAAAAATATTTTAAATTTATTTCAGGGTTTTCATTTCTTACCCTCTTTCAAACCAGACAATTCAAACAATCCAAGGGTTTTAAAATAATGTTTATTAAGGCTTTTTGGGAGCTCTGGTAGCATAGTGCCTAAGGCACTTGACTGCTAACCAGAAGGCTGGCAGTTCAAACCCACCAGCCACTCCTTGGAAGGAAGGTTGGGCAGTCCTACTTCTGTAGTGATACTGCCTCGGAAACCCAAGGAGGGGTTGCTATGAGTCGGGGCTGACTCGATGGCACATAACAACAACAACAGCAAGTCTTTTTGAATTGCAAACAGATCTTAGTTAAATTTTGGAATCCTAAAGTAGAATGTGTTGTAGATGTTAAAGGCTAATATGAAGTTGATTTGGATTCTTCTGCTTCTTATTTGTGGCATAGTGGAGATAGCGGAGGGAGAGAAATTTCTATGGAAACGTCTATGGAAATTTCATTACCTTGACGTAAATGAGTAAGAGCATATTCAGTGAGCATATTATACTCAAGCAAAACCTGCAGCAGAATTTATCTTCCTATCCAGATGATATGAATATATTAAATAAAATTCCCCTTAAGTCAATGACAGTTTAAATAATTTTTAAAAGAGAAGATAGAAACTTAAATGTTATAAGAGAAATATTTGATATAATTTAAAACATATTTCATTTAAGTAACATAAACTTTGGAAATGATTTTCAAGGATCACGGAGCAGCAGTATGTGGATTGATGAGTTACTTCATCTGTTTCTTTCATACACAACTTTTTGAGCCACTTGCCTTTGAGGCCATGTGGATAAGAAGTTGAAATACCTTTGTTCTCAGTGAACTAATCTTATAGATGAAATAGATGAATGGACACTTATAACACAGAATGTAATCTTTGATTTAATGGAGAAATATATGAGGTTCTACGGGCATAAAGCATGGAGCCCTGATGGCACAGTGGTTAAGTTCTCAGCTGCTAACCAAAAGGTTGTTGGTTTGAATCCACCAGCCACTCTGTGGGAGAAAGATGTGGCAGTCTGCTTCCGAAAAGATTTATAGCCTTAGAAACCCAGTATGACAGTTCTGCTGTGTCTTATAGGATCACTATGAGTCAGAATCAAATTGATGGCCATGGGTTTGGTGTTTTTCTTGGGTTTATGGGGATAAAGAGGAGAGTTTTGTTCTGTCCCTGCATGAGGAGGAATGCACTTGGTCAGTGGTTCGTAAAGACTGTGCTACTTGAATTGAAGATCCAAGAATGAGTAGGACTTTTTCCATTAGGGAGGGAAGAGTATCCCAGGTAGATAGTTGATTGTATTTAGTCAGTGATATATGAAAGTTGTCCTCAAGAGTCTGCAGACTGACAGGCATTAGGGTGGATCACACCAGGTAGATACATTCCTTAGAACAGTCAATCATGGGAGACCAGAAGGGCAGAATTTGCATAGGGAGACAGCTCAGGGGTGGGAATGTGTAGGAAAGAAGGACACAGGGAAGGGGTAACTACAGGGAGGAAGTGGAAAGAGAGCTGTTACACTGTGGGGATTGTAGTCAATGTCATGAAACAAAATGTGTGTGAACTACAGTATGGAAAATGAATTTGCACTGTAAACTTTCACCTGAATCACACATACACACACACACACACACACAAATTAAAAACAGAAAAGAATCTGCAGATTGGTTGGTGTGTTTACAATAGAGGTTTAAAGTATGGAAGTGGCAAGAGCTGTGACTAGAGGGTAGCTGGTGCCTGAGGAGCTGGTTTCCATGTCAGAAGCTTCTGGCCTGTGTCTTTTAGGTGAGAGGGACTTTAGAACAATTTTAAGCCCAGGAGTAACATTATTGGATTTGCTGTATAGAAGGGCCTCTTGAAAGCTTTGAAGCACTGATTGGAGGGGGATGACACTTGCAACCAGCACACGGTTGACACTGTCTACTGAGTAATGATGAATTCAAGCGAGGCTGTGGTGATAGGAATGGAAAGAGGACAATGGGAGAGGTGTTTGAGAAGAGAGAACTGAGGAGACTTAGTGAAGAATCGAATTATCTGTTGGCTCATACACTGTGTTTTATATAATCAAACTCTTATGTGGGCTCTACAATTGGTTTAACTATGTTTTCATCATTTTTGACAGTTCAGACCCTTATACGTGACTGTCAGGTTATCAGAGAGACTAAAGAAAACCAGATTGCAGAGCTAAAAAAGATATGTGAACAAAGTACAGAATCTCTGAATAATGACTGGGAGAAAAAGGTAAGCTGCATGAAACAGGAGTGGGAATTAGAAAGAGGAGTAATACAAGATTCTTCCAGGTGTGAGCCTGTACCTCAAAGTAAGATTCTTAATTATAAAAATAATGGGTATTCACAGTGAAAAATACAGAAGATTATGAAAAAAGAGAATAAAAATATCTTAAAATTAATTATTGCTTACAGAGTACTGAGTTTCTGTTAATGGTGGTAGAATAATTTGAAAAAGAATAGTGGTAACAGTTGTACAACTTGATGAACACATTCATTTTCACTGAATTATACATGTAAAATTGTTGAATTCGCACATATTTTGTTATATATATTTTTACCACAATTCAAAAAAAAAAAAGTTGTACCATCTAGAAATAGCTATTGTTCATGTTTTGGGGTGTTTTTTTTAGAAGTCTAGTGCTGTATAAAATACATTTTCATAAAAAAAGGTGACTTTTGACTAATTCTTGAATTTAATTACTGTTCTGAATTTTTTTTTTTGTCATAACCAATAGACTTTAAGCAAAATTAATAGAGAAATGGCAGGAGGACAATTTTTGGAAATTAAACCATTTTAATTTTGGATTTAGGCCATTGGATTATTTCTTTCCTGATATTTCAGGTAACACATTATCAGGCATACTTTAGAATTTATTGTATAAACTTGTTTTTGACAAAAACAAAATCATTCTTAGAGGAACATTTAATTAAGAAAAAACATTTTCCTACTGATCTCTACTCATTGAGAACACAAGAGAAAGAAGGAAACTGAAGACTCAAAGAAGAAGCTAGTCCATAGCACTCATAGTCTGTACAAACAACAGCCTCACCAACCTTGAGATAAGAACTAGATGGTGCTTGGTTACCACTGTTGACCATTCTGACCAGGGACTCATTACATGGTCCCAAAATAATTGGAAAGAAATATAGAACACAATAAAGATTCCTCAAAAAAGTCTAGACTTACTGGACCAGTAGAGACCAGATGAACCCTTGACTTTATCACCCTGAGGTCCTGTTTAAACTTGGAACCTAAACTACTCCTGAGGTCACCTTTCAGCTAAATGACATATTGGCCTGTTTAAAAAAAAAAAAAAAAAAAAAAAAAGTAGTGTCATTCATGAGCCCTGTGTTCCTTTAAATGATCATCTGAATTAGTGATACCTCTTTTAGTTACCTAGTGGTACTCTGACAAGAATATACCACAAATAGAATTGCTTGGACAAACAGAAGTTTATCCTCTTACAATTTTGGAGACTTTAAGTCAGAGTTCAAAGTGCCAGACTCTAGGGGCTGGGTGAAAGCCCCTCAACCTTGGGGTTCAGCTCTGCCTCCTGCCCCTGGCCCACTGAAGCTGGAGTCTTTTCTTCACTCAGGCAGCTGCTGGCTGCTGAGGCTGACAAACCCAAGGTTGACAAGTAAAAAGGCACAGACCCAGTGTTACCAAACGATATGGCAGGTCACTAATTCAAGTCCATATATGAAGTCCCAAGATTGGCAGGGTGTGGCATGTTGATGAACAACGATTTGGCTGCATGCAGAGTTCAAGTGTGCCAAAAGGCTAGAGACCAGTCCTAAAGCTGCTGCTTCTATGTGGGAAGCAGACCACATCCCTAAGGCAGCTACTCAGCTGCTTGTGGTAGATCCCACCATGGAGGTGATTGCCGGTCTCATCATGGGGAATAACTAGCACCAGCTGCCCAGCCACTCAACCAGGCCCAGCCAAGTTGACAACAACGTTAACTACCACAGTACCCTAACTAAAGACAGAAAGTAATGGGGGGACGAAGAAGCTAGATTAATGAGAACAGAACCAGAATGGAAATAATGATGCATTGTGAAAAATGTAACCAATGTCATTGAACAGTATGTACAGAAATTGTTAAATGAGAGCCTAATTTGGTGTGTAGATTTTCACCAAAAATACAATAACATATTATTCAAAAGAAAAAGTATTATTATTATTATTTTTGTAGTGGACATTGGTGTCCACCTATCTGTTGTAGTCTGCTTTCATTTCTTTTGTGTCTATGCCTAGGAATGCAATTGCTGGATCATATGGTAGTTTTAGGGAGCTCTGGTAGCATAGTGGCTAAGACACTTGCCTGCTAACCAGATGGCTGGCGGTTCAAACCCACCAGCCACTCCTCGGAAGGAAGGTTGGGCAATCCTACTTCTGTAGTGATACTGCCTCGGAAACCCAAGGAGGGGTCGCTATGAGTCGGGTTTGACTCAACGGCACATAACAACAACAACAACAACATGGTAGTTTTATGTTTAGCTTTTTGAGGAACTTCCAAACTGTTGTCCATAGTGGCTGTCCTATTTTAAAATCCCCACAGCAATGGATAAGGGTTCCAGTGCTCATTGCAGCACTGTTCACAATAGCCAAAAGATGGGAACAACCTAAATGTCCATCAGTAGATGATAAAGTATGGTACATACATGCAATGGAATATTTCTCTGCTATCGAGGGAAATGATTCACATGCCATAAAAGTCACCCTCTTAAGGTTTGCAATTTACTCATTTTTAGTTATATTCACAAAGCTGTACAACTATCACCATTACCTAATTACAGAAGATTTCGTCATCCCAGAAGGAAACCCAGTCCTGATTTGCAGTCACTTCCCGTTTTCCTCTCCCCCAGCCCCTGGGAACCACTGATCTACTTTCTGTGTCTACTGTTTTGCCTGTTCTGCATATTTCATATACATGGAGTGGCTTTTTGTGACTGGCTTTTTTCACTGAACATAACGCTTCAAAGCTCATTCAGATTGCAGCATGTGTCAGTACTTCCCTTTTAGGGCTGAACAGTATTCCATCATATGGCTATACCATGTTTCGTTTATCCAGTCATCAGTTGATAGGTAGTTGTGTATTTTTCTACTTTTTGGATGTCATGAATAATGATGCTGTGGATATTTGTGCACAAGTTTTTGTGTGGACATGTGTTTTCAGTTCTCTTGGGTGTATACCTCAAAGTGGAATTCCTAGGTCACAGATAACTCTGTGTTTAACTTTTTGAGGAGCTGCCAGAATGTTTTCTGAAGAGGCTACTACGTGGGCAAAAGTTAAGGCTAAAGACAGTGCGTAGCACTCTGTATTCATTGCCAAACCCTAGTACAGATTTCCCTGGGGTTTGATAGGGGACCTCTCATTTTCAGGACTCTAATGGCATCCTTGTGGGTGAATGAGCCCTAGCACCATCAGTGCTGTATGTCATGTTTAATAACATCTGCAGCTCAAGTAGACAGTTTATCCCTAAGCCCTTTATCCCTATTGCCCTTTAAAGCCTCCTGGAACAAGTTACGTGTATTCTGTTCCATTGCTAGGTTTGGGAAAGCCCTCTTTGATACATTGTCCCTGGTACAGAGTAAGGTACTACTAAAAATTGGTTGGATGAATGAGTAAGTAGTGGTCTTCTCCAGTCAGATTACTAGACCAGATACACATCTTTGATCCTCACACATCTTTGATCCTCACACCAATCAGCCAAGTTGTAGCATACGTCTTTTTGCCAGAGCCATTCTTCTCTTCCTAGTCTCAGCTGTTGCTGGAGGAAGATGAGGTAGTCTGCTCTCATAAAGATTATAGCCTTGAAAACCTTATGGGGCAGTTCTGTTCTGTCTTAAAGTGTTCCTATGAGTTGGAATCGACTTGGTGGCAACAAGTATTCTTTTTTCCCCCAGTCTTGTCTGTTCCTTGGACAAATTTTAATTGACCTGGACTGATTTACAGATGTCCATCCCCAAGCACAGTTCCTTTCTAAAGCAATTGTAGAATGCATCTAAGAAACTACTGTGTATTGCTGGGCTACTAACTACAGCAAGCTTTTGACATTCAGCAGGCCTGTGTCCTAAGACCTTTTTTTTTTTTTAAACAAACAAACAAACAAACCAAACTAACTGCTGTTGAGTTGATCCCTACTCATAGCAACCCCTGCATGGGTTTCTCAGGCAGTATCTCTATGGAAGTAGATTGCCCAGTCTTCCTTCCGAGGAGTGGCTGGTGAGTTTGAACCACTGGCCTTCTGGTCAGCAGTCAAATGCCTTAGACACTATACCACAAGAGCTTCCCAAACATGAGGAAACCATTATAACATATCACTGTTCCCATATGTATAGGTGCAAAAGTCTAAGTGACTGCTTTCATTTCTTTATCAGGGTTACTATGCATGTCAGTCAACAGCTTGAAGAAGCACTGAGAATTGAGGTGCTGTGGGCTCATGTCAGCTAAGTGACTGACTTTTGAATACTGGATGTAATACCATTTAAAATGTATACTTTGGCAAAATACAAATAAACCATGTCAGTGAATGTTTGAAATAGTCAAAATTGCTTATGTTAGATCTGTGCAACCCAAGGGTCTCTTCTCTGGCCATTCTTGAGCCATCCTCACTCTCCTTGTTCACTAGAAGTTGAAAGAAAAGTCTTTAGCACCCTTTTCAAGAATCACTGCTATTGTTGCCTATGTTCCTACCGTCTCTCAGAGTATTTCTTGTTCCTCTGGTATATCTTCTTGTCAAATAAGAGTCTACCCGGCATTTGTCATATCCTTGCCCTCCCTCCCCTGCTCATTGTTGGGGAATCAGATATATCATTTAATCTGTTTTGGGCTCTTGCTCTGCCTGCTCACTGAGCGAGTTCTGGGGTTGGATGCAGGAGACAGAAGTTGCACTCAGAATCGCACTCCTATTAAGAGGAGTGAAGAAAGCCTACAGGCTGTGAGCACGATTTGCAGACACCTTTGGAAGCTGTCCATTGGACTTTCTCTCGACCTCCCATATTTGCTCCTTTGCTTTCTTTGTCTTAGTTTGCATATATATTTTAATGCTTCATCCATTCCAATGGTGTGTAATTTTTGTAATCTTTATTAATAAAGACCTATGCACATGAAGACACTTAATATCCTGTTCTCCTTAGTCATCCTGCTTATTTGCTATTTGATTTACAGGTGCCGTCTTTGCTTCCACTTTGTATATCTTAAGAAATGACTAAAAGTAGTTTCTTGTTGGGGCTTAGGATGGGAGAGAAAGCAATTTTTAATATTACTCTTGTGTAAAATTTCCTGCAAATAAGATGAAAAGTATAGACATTGAATGATGTTAATCAATAACCATAATATATATTTTGAGGTATCATATTGTCTGCCTCATTTATTTACTCTTTCCACTTGAGACAGAGAATTCCCTTTAATATTTGTTCATCCGTTAACGTTTTTAATTCAGGAAAGTAAAGAAAAACAATGAAGTGTTTCTTAATCATGTTCTTTATATGATAGTCTTACTTTGAACATTTCTTTTCTGGATTTTGTAACTATGGTGTCTCAGGTTGTGTGGTGGTTATGTTTGTGTGGCAACTTGGCTGGGCCTGGTTGAGCGGCTGGGCAGCTGGTGGTAGTTATTCCCCAGGATGAGACTGGCAATCAACTCCATGGTGGGATCTACCACAAGCAGCTGAGTAGCTGCTTTGGATATGTGGTCTGCTTCCCGTATATAAGAAGCAGCTTTGGGAAAAGTCTCTAGCCTATGGCATGCTTGGACCCTGCATGTAGCCATGTCATTGTTCATCAGCCTGCCATGCTCTGCTGACCTTGGGACTTACAGTGGACTTAAATTAATGGCCTGCTGTGTGGTTTGGTAACACTGGGACTGTGCCTTTTTACTTGTCAACCTTGGGCTTGTCAGCCTCAGCAGCCAGCCGCTGTCAGAGTGAAAAAACGCCTCTAGCTCCAGTGGGCTGGGAGCAGGAGGCAGAGCTGGACCCCAAGGTTGAGGGGCTTTCATACAGCCCCTAGAGCCTGGCACTTTGAACTTGGACTTCTAGCCTCCTGAACTGTAAGAGAATAAACTCCTGTTTGTTAAGGTCATTCCATTTGTGGTATATTTTTGTCAGAGTGGTACTAGGTAACCAGAACAGGTTGCCATACAGGAAACATTTTTTTTCTGAATTGTGAAATAGTGTATTTCATAGTAGTGCAGGAATCAATTCTTGATTTCATTGCGTAGCTTCACAGTGCTGTAGCAGAAATGGAGAAGGAAAAGTTTGATCTTCAAAAGAAACACACGGAAAATATTCAGGAATTGCTTGAGGACACAAATGTACGTCTGAATAAGATGGAGGGTGAATACATGGCCCAGACACAGGCCACAGTAAGTTCTCCTTTCTTCCCTTTTCTTGCCCGTTTTGGAAACTGTGCCCTTAATCACCGTATCCCCATGTCTCTCTGATGTGCAAAGTATATAAATAAATGTGTCATGGAATTCCAAACAGTCTACCTTCCTGCTCGAAACAGACTTATATGTGAAAATGGACACTCCTTGAAGTTTGCCCCTTGAAGATTGACTCCGGATTGTTTGATGCCTTTTTTTTTCAAGCCCCAGAGGCCTTTCTACATTTTTGTCTTGTGTTTTCATTGACTTTTAGTCCAGAGGTACTTTCTTTCTGGGTTTTTCCCCCTTGTACCTTTTAAACTGACGACTTGATTGCTTTTCTAAAAATGTTGACCAATAGTGCGAGAAGACAATGAAGCAACATCTGAAAGATGAATAGAGAAAGTGTGATCCAGAATAGTTTTCAAGTATAAAGGAGACAAACTGTTTTGAACATCAGCAAATGTCTTTGGTTTTTATATGTGTTTATATTACTGTAATGTCTCTAAGTGTGGGTTTTGGGGCATAATCGAGCTCTTTAAATCTGAGGGTTTTTTCAATCTTTCTTTAGTGCTGGGAAATCTATTTTATACTATTTCTTCAACTAGATCTACCCTTAAACCTTGTTTTGTTTTCCTTCAACTTACGTTTTCTTTTATATTCTGTGCTTCTAGTTTTTCATTTTGATCTTACTTCTCACCAGTTAATTCTTCAATAGATTTCCTCCTGCTTATTGGTTCTATTTAGTTCATTATGTCAGCTGTCGTTTTTTTTCATACTCAATATTTTTATTTGGTTCTTTAAAAAAATTATTGTTTTACATTGCTAATGTATTCTTTATCTTTTTAGACATGTTTCTTACACTTATTTAAAGTTTTTGGTACATTGGTTCTAATAACTCTGCTTCAGGGTATTATGTATATGTTACATATTGTCAGTTATGCAGTCCACTTCTGTAAAGATTTACCGCTTTGGAAACCCAGTGGGGGTTGCTGTGAGTCAGAATTAACTCGATGGCAGTGAATTTGGTTTTGATTTTTTATATATATTATAGTACAGAGCCCTGGTAGCACAGTGGTTAAAGCTCTCAGCTGGCAACCAAAAGGTAGACAATGGTTCAAACCCACCAACTGCTCTGTGGGAGAAAGATGTGGCAGTCTGTTTCTTTAAATATTTACAGCCTCAGAGTCCCTATGGGACAGTTCTGCTTTGTCCTGTGGGGGTCACTGTGAATTAATGGACATACCCCCTATGGTAGTGGGTTTGGTTTTGGGTCTGGAATAATTGTAGTATTATTTGTATATAAAACACTCATTGCTGGCTTTATTTCACAGTAGCTTTCTGCAAGTGCCTAGGTATTTTGGACTGTGAGTTCGTGTCTTTTCAGTTTTTCAGTTACTCTGTTGCATGTATATTGGGGAAAAGCCAGAAGAGAGGGCCCTGCTTTGTTCAGGTAGAGTGGAGGGGTGAGCCTCAGGGTGACGAGCCCCAGGTGGTACATGACCCCTGTTGAACCGCTGTTGGCTTTCTTCCATTTACAACAGGCAAGCCTCTTGCTAACTCTAAGGAGATACAACGTTGGAGAGAGGCAGTCTCCCTAGATTGAATTCATTAACTCTCAGGTTTGAAGGAGTGGGAATTTATTAATGAAGAGAGTTTTAAATGTAGTGAAATTTATCAATTTTTATGATTAGTCTTGTTAGTTTCTGAGTTTTGTTAAAAAAAAAAAAATTCCTCTAGTTACAAGTACAGAAAAGGCTCACCTACATATTCTACTAAAAGTTTTAAAGCTGTGCTTTTAGCATTTAGCCATTAATCTGTTTGCAGTTATTTTTTGTGACTAGTGTTAGGTAGGGATCTAACTTCGTTATTTTCTGGTGGATGGCCACTTTTTCCACTTCTACGCATGAGTGATGCCTCCTTTCTTCATTGATCTACGCTGCCACCTGTCACATATCAAACTTCTGTATGTGCACAGCTCTCTCTTCTGATTGATTTGGTAGTTTCTCTGTGTTGCTAGTATTATACTGTGGTTATTAGTCCAGCCTCATAATTGCTCTTGGTGTCCGATAGGGAAGTCTTCCTTCCTGGCCTATCAGAAGAGACCTTTTCTTTTTGGATGTACATTTTAGAATCAGCTTACAGAGTTAAGAAAGAGAAGAAAAATCTGGTGCTATTTGAATGTTACGTATAATTTTACCCTGAGTCTTTTATATTTCTATTGTTTGTAGTAAGGCTTATAGATTTTAACCCTTTATATGCATGTAGCAAATATTTTATTGTGGTATATTGTATATTGACTAACACTTGCACAAAATTTTAAATAATGATGCTACTAACTTTGAAATCAAATAATTACTTATGGCAAAAGATGTACATGGTCACTAGTGAATATTTAGAAAGGCGATATAGCCAAAGAAGAAAAAAAAATAAAGTCTGTATAATAAAGTTACTCTTTTATTGAAACTATCCGAGAGTGCCCATACTGTTAATATCTTCAGGCCAGTGGCTAGTGTTTTAATTAAAAACAAACAAAGAAACAAAAATCTTTGCCATTTGATTTGAAAAGAAGAAAAGCTTAATATATACATGATAAATCCTTATAACTTATCATATTTTATAGTTTGTTACAGTGTCTAGGATGCTCAGAGTAAAATTTGGGACCTAACTTTCATAGTTAATTAAACCAGTATGGCTTATGCTTTTGAATATCTGCCCACCCCCGAATTTATCAGTTTTTACTTTTTCTTTTTACAATTTCCTTAACTATTACAATATTATGTAAGTTAACGCAAAGGCAATGTACTACATAAAAATGAAGAACTATATGTAGTTTTTGGTTCATGCACATAAACAGTATTAACACAATTACATTTGTTCATATGCAAATATTTACTGAGCACCTAATAGGTGCCAGGCAGTATTCTAGCTGCTGGGGACATAGAGGTGCAAAAAGTCCCTGTTCACTGATGCTTACACTTTAGAGGGACTAGTAGTCAATAAACAGACACAAATGTCTGGTGGTAATAAGGACTATGATGAAGAAGAAAGTGTAAGATGTGTTGTCAGTAGGGCTGGTATTTCCCGCAAGAGGGCAAAAATTTGTTCTTGTGGTTGAAAAAAATCTTAAAATATCATAGTGGTTTATAGGTATCCATAGGTCACAGTGTATATAGTATATGTGGTATTAAAGTATCATGTTGTTGTTGTTGTTGTTATGTGCCGTCAAGTCTGACCCGACTCATAGTGACCCCTCCTTGGGTTTCCGAGGCAGTATCACTACGGAAGTAGATT